GGAGATCACTGCTCCTCTACCAGGCAACCACACAATCTTTCTCTCCTCTTACGGGGCCTAGTAGATTTGATACGCAGCAAATTGTTTCCTCCACCTCTGTGAATCTCTTGATAGCAGAGACCATGTCTTAGCATGGAGCCTGGACGTGGTAACCATTGATAAATGTTATTGAAATGAATGAATGGACTTTAAACAAAAAAAGATCTGGAAACTACACCAAGATCATTTCTCAATGGTCATTGCTGACTCTACTGACAGATAACCAGGAGCACAAAGAGAGTCACATGAAGACATTTTTGATGTGGGTTTTGTACTTATTCAGGTAAAAGAGGAGGCTGGGTCATTTGAAAGGCTTCCTTTCAGGTCTCATCTGTGGATCTGAACACTGAATGAATAAGAGGGAATTATATTTTGGAAATTGCTATTTCAATAATTTATAAGAAATCTGATAATTTAATATCAGGATTAACCAAGAGGTATCTGAGGCACAGAGGGGATTATATTTGGTAGAGTTTCTAACCAGGTTAGTGACAAGCCGGTTATTTCCTTATTCTCCCACATGCAGAGATTTCTGCTTTAATTCTATTAGTAAAGTAGGTGGTTATGGTAAGAAAAATAAATTAATAATTTAACATTTACTACCTCAAGGATCCTAGGAGGAACAGTCACACCTCTTGGCCACCTAGCACAAATATGTTGATTTAAGAAGAAGTGCATAGACAATGTGGGTTTTAATTTGAGTATGCTACCACACTGCAGAAAAAGTTCTCTATTCTACATGTGGGAAAAGAGCTTCTCTGGGAACTTGGCCATGGACTACCTGGAAACTTCTTTTGCCAACCATCACTTATCGAAGCTTGAAAAATCACGAGCTCCCAACACCTAAAATTAGTTCTCAAAAGGTGTACTCATAGATAATCTTGAGAGACTATGCATGGTAGGAAAAGAAGGCATTGAATTTAGAGTCCATGTACCTAAATCTAGCTGCATGACTCAAGATTAACTGCTCAAATTTCCTAAGACTCATTTTACCAACACCTAGAATGGCCACTGTTATCATCCTCGCTGGGCTCTCGTGAAAACTAGCTTCGATGATGTATAGGGAGCCCCTAGCAAAGGGCCTGGCAACTCGTCAGGCACTCAGAAGATGTCAATTTCTTTTCTTCCCTTTTGATTGATGATCTATTTACTGGAACAGAAACAAAATATAATATGTGGGGCTCAAGGAATTTACAACAGTTGGTCAAGCAGAAATCATACCTATAAAAGGTGCAGAGCTATGTATAGCCGGGTAGGATAAATATCTAGTAATGGTATGACTCATAGTGCTATGACAGTAAAGAAGAAAATGACTCTAGTGGGTGGGGGTGGCAAGGGAGGGCTTCCTGGAAGAATTTGAATCAGTACTTCGAGAATGGGTGGGAATTAGATGGATAGAGATGAACAGATAGGGCCAAGCCAGATATTAATAGATATAGAAGCACCTTACGAGAACGTACAGGGCAAATTCTGGTAATATGCAGACTGGTCTTGCTGGCAAACTTTTTGCATATTGGAATAGCTGAACGTAAGGCTTTGGTAAATGGTCATGGATCTTAAATGTTGGGCTAAGGAATTTGGTCTTTATCTTGTAATGGAAAGCCAGTGAAGGCTTTTGAGCAGGAAAGGAACATAGCCAAATAGTATCATCTAGAAAGCTTGCAAGTATACAACGTTCACTCCAGTGTTATGAGCCATGCCGCTGTGAAAAAAATCCCTTTCATTATACTAATACTTAGTACATCACTGAAGACCGACTTCAGAACTCCAAGGAAAACATTTTATGAATCAAAAGCTAAGTACAATATGTTAGCAATTAAATGAGATAACATAACAGCCGAGGCAGAACCACAGTTTTCCCCACCACGGTTTTCAAGCTGCTGCAGAAAGAAATGCTTCTATCATCTTCCAAGTTACCAAGCCATTTTGTTTTGATTTTCAGAAGGCGGGGAGAGAGGAACCGAGAAGAGTATGGAGGTCAACAGGATTCAAAGCTGTCTACTCTTTAATCAGAAGGAATTATTAAGGAGAGTTAGGAAGGAGATTTGCTCAAAACAAAACCGGGACTGGGATGAGTTTCAAGTTACTGGGACTCGCTCCCACCCCAGAACAACAAACGAAGGTGTGTAGTTGGGAATGAGACTCTCACCACCGCTCTCTGCCGAAGTTTCCGGTGCATACCTCCCACGGCTACTTTATTTACTGCAGCTGGCCAAAGTTTTATAGCCTGTTTCATGTATTAAAATTCAAATGTGGAAAACATTACCAGTATCCTCCTTGAATTTTATTTTTTGTTGTTGTTGGGGGGTAGGGAGGGTAGGTTTTTTTTTCTTCCCCTTAAACTTCCTTTTTATTGTGGAATGTATCAAACGGTCAAAGGCTAACTTCAGACTGACTAAATTCAAAAACTATTTCCTTTGTTCTTCTGTTTTTGTTTTAAAATTCATACCCGTTTGCACAGGAAAGATAGGCCAATCCAACCCTTTTCACACACATTAGCGTTTCAGGCTGAGGAATTCAGAGTCTGGGGACATGCTGGATGGTTTTCAGGAAGAAAGGAGAAAGACTGTAAAACCCCATTTGCTTCAAAGGGCAGCAGGTTGTTGACGTGCCATGTCTTTGGAGTTACGCTACGATCTGGTCGGCTCTGTGGTTGTCCTTGATTGCATATTAAATGTCTCCAGAGAAGAGAACAGGAAGTTTTTCCCATCAGCAAAATTGGTGGCTTTATTGCTCCTGTATAGTTTTTTTTTCCAAAATCAAATCAAAGAAGTTTCTGTGTAATAATATTGCCTAATTATTTCTCTTTTTCTACTGTTCTATTCAATCTTCTCCCTCTCCCTTCCACCAGGGTCAGTCCAACTTCTCCTATCCAAAAATAATTCTAGTCTTTTCCTCCCATTCCACCTCTGAATCAGATTCAAAGAAAAGGCAATTCAAAGGTCAAATAGTTGAAAAAAGCGTCTATGTATAGTTTAATATTTTAAAGAACCACTTAACCTACATCTGGTATTTAAGAACAAACTTCACATATTTATGAAAAAGACTGTCTCTGAAGCAATGCCCCGGGCGCATGTTACATCCGTTTAACATATGCAAAACGAACACAGCTACAGAAATCAAACTATTTTTCTCTTGATTGAGAGCAGATATACAGAAATGGTTATAAGTCACAGATCTGGCTTTTAATAAAGCCAGATTTCTTAATTAAAAGCAGTATTGTTTAAACATTGTAGTTTTAAAAAAAGAGCTGTACAAACGAAAATCTCATATTATATGCATCCCAAGTGTATTTAACACATTACCTGAGGCCAAGCTAAATTAAAATCTAGACTTTCCTTTTGTCAACTCTTAGCAACTGCCACGCATAGACAAATAATTTTTACTCAATGATGAATTTTTAGGGTAGAGGTCAAAGAAAAGAAAGAAAGAAAAAAAGATTTGACTTTGGCGTTCAAAAATATCTTTCCACATTTTAGAAGTGAGTTCATTGCTTCTATTTATAAACCAGTATTTTTGGTTTCAAATTGGTTGCAGGTTTCAATATTATATCGTACAGAATGGTACTCTTAATCTTAGTCTTTTATTAAGAGAAATTGAAAGGAAGACGGAAGAATACTATTGAGCAAGAACTTAAAAGAACTTCGTAATAATTTGCACTTATTGTCCATTTCCTTTTGGAACCACCTTTAAACAAGACATACTACAGTGAAGATGGAAAATAGACTTTTATCCAAGCAACTCTGAAAGAGCCTCAAGGACAAAATAGGACACCAAGGTGTTTAGTGATCAGGCAGGAGTTTGTAAGGAGCAGAATTACACAGAATCACTGATAAACTTACATTACCATCCATGTGGTCACCCCATTAATTGTCATCAGTTAAAATTCTGTTAAGAAGATTCTCTGAATCTTTGTAATCATCCAAAAAAAAAAAAAAAGAACATTCTCCAAAATAATGGGCAAAATTAAAATTCCAATTGTAATACGAACAAATCTGCTTAAATATTATTCAAATATAGACTTATTCATAAATACACAATGGAAAAGCTACTCTCCACATTAAATTACACAGTCTCACACCATGTATTATACACCAAAAAAAAAAACCAAAACAAAACACCATATATTTTTTTTTTTTTTGAGACAGAGTCTCACTGTGTTGCCCAGGCTAGAGTGCCATGGCATCATCCTAGCTCACAGCAACCTCAAATTCCTGGGCTCAAGCGATCCTCCTGCCTCAGCCTCCCGAGTAGCTGGGACTACAGGCATGCTCCACCATGCCCGGCTAATTTTTTCTATATATTTTTAGTTGTCCAATTAATTTCTTTCTAATTTTAGTAGAGACGGGGTCTCGCTCTCTGGTTTCGAACTCCTGAGCTCAAACAATCCGCCCACCTTGGCCTCCCAGAGACCTAGGATTACAGGCGTGAGCCACCGCGCCCGGCCCAAAACACCATATATTTCTACCTATTGTATTCAGGATTGAAAGACATTATTTTGGCTTCTTTAAAAAAAAAATAAATCCATTCATATCTGAAATACTAGCAATGTAATGTGAACTAAAGTTGTGTCCTTTGGTCAATGTCACCAAGATGGATAATTTCAAACACCAGCAATAACTCAGCATTCACTCCTTAATGGAAAGGTGTGTCTACACAAAAACTTGTACATGAATGTTTACGGGAGTGTTATTCGTAATAGCCACAGAGTAGAAACAATCCAAATGTCCATCACCTGATGAATGGATAAATTTAATGTGGTATATCCATACGATGGAATATTATATGACAATAAAAATGAATGAAGCTCTAATATGCATAGATAAACTTTGGGTGCATTGTATGTTAAGTGAATTATATCTCAACAAAGCTGTTTTAAAAAAACAAACCAGCAGTAGTAGTTATACCTGAAATTCTAATTCCACATGATAACTAGAGAGTCTGCAAATGTCATCACTTACCATAAGCGAATGTCTGTTGGCTGAAAGAAGGCCGGTTCCATACCCTGAGCCCAGACCACCCATGGCTCCATTATGAGAAGGTCCGATGATTCCGTGCATGTCCCCATGACCACCAGGCATAGCTGTGGATGGGCCCACTGCATGATTCCGGAGAACGTGAATAGCATCATCCAGTCTTTCTAAACGATCTTCAATTCGGCTTTGCTGTTGGTTAACAAACGATGTCGAATTTGATTTAGTTTGAAATGCATGCCTAAGTTATGTAAATAAAACTTTAGCAGGCAAAATCACACTTCGAGTTTCTAAATATGTGTTTCAAATAAAGTATATTCCCTTAAAACAATAATAAAAATAAACAATATTGTTCCTAGAAACTTGGTGGAAAATGTTAATGTTAAAATTATACTAACATACGTATGCTATACTGTACTGTGCTTGAAAGAGATGTAGATTTACTAGAAGACAAAAACATTTATTGAATTTAAGGAACATTCTGGCAGGTATTAGGTTAAAGAGCTTAAAAAGATAACAATAGAAAGATGATCTATTTATAGTCTCCCAATTAAATTTTTTTCTTACAAGTGTATTTCTTTGGTCTCCTCTGTGGCATATGATAATGTAAGTATCAAGTGAGAGACAAGTAAAAGCATATAGATTATAGTTTCTTGCTGAGTTTTTTAATCTGTGTTTCTTGTTTTCTATTTGTCATCAAGACTAGCTTGTGTGTGTCTATGTGTGTGTGTGTAAGGGCCTCAAAATGGTCATCAAAAAAAATTTTTTTAAAAATTCTGCATAAGACTTCAAGACTAAAGAATGACAAAGACTTGAATCAATTGTTCACTGAGGGCCTCATTTGATTTCGAAGCCCCTACTCTGCTACAGAATTCACTACCTTATACAATTAAAAACCACTGAACCTTTTTTTTATTCTCGGCCTTGGGATCCTAGTTTTTGGCAACTAGACAAGACCCGTACTACAGTTTTTGGTGAAGAAAAAGGACATGTAGTTACACATTCATTTTTTTCATTGTGGTCAATAATGATATCAATGACTACTTTCCAGGGT